AAGCAAGAAGACTATTCCAATCAGGCAGATCCCTTTTGAGAAGAGGTTGTTTTTATTTTTGGATTTTTTTGGTGGGCTTTGAATTGTTCCCTTTCCCAAATCATTCTTCCCCTTTTCCCTTTTAACTTAGCAATTCATTGGTTTTTAGGCAATCAACAGTGATAAACTGTTGGCAATGATCCTGGTAGATAGAGGTTATTACCAATTTATTAGAGAAGTGAAATATTGTCCCCAAAATCTGACTTAAAGTATTTTTGTATGAAGACAAGTTAGTCACTTTGTGAAAGTCTGTAAAATATTGTAAATTTATTTTTAATTTTTCAATAAAGACACACCATTGTGGCATAATTGCGGGTTAAAAAAAAAAATATATAAAAAATAAACAAGACAAAAAAATTCCTATACCCTTTAGATTAAAAAACTTTGTTTCCAAAGAAAAAAGAATTATTATAAAAAAAAGAAAACCTAAAAGGTGGCTTTGAAGAAATTTTAATAAAAGAGTAAAGTATGAAATGAAATTATTGGATTTTGAGCTTTGTTAGAATATTAAAAAGTTATTTGTAGTAGCGATCTATAAGTAATAAAGTTAATAGTTAGAAAAGTTTTTACCTGAACTATAAATAGAGTAATAAATCATTTTAAAAGTTGCACTTAGAGTTTTAGTAAATTTCAAAATAAAAACAAGTAAGTTAAGTAAAGAAAAATTTAATTTTAGTAATATATTTTATAATATAAAATATACAAACTTTTAATAAAGTATATATATCTAATGTAACAAAATGTTTAATATATATATATATATATATATAATAGTAATTAATTTTTTTATAAAAATAATTTTTTTTTTTTTAAATCTGTAATCACGTCACAATAGCTTATTTTTATTGAAAAATTAAAATAATATCTATAATAGTTTACAGACCTTCATAAAGTAACTAACTTGTCTTCATATATAAGTATTCTAAGTTAGATTTTGGAAATAATATTATACTTTCCTAATAAATTAATAATGACTTCTATTTACTAGAATTATTACTAACATTTTGTAATTATTGATTAATTTGAAAATCAATGAATAGCTAAGTTAAAAAGAGGAAAGAAAAAAATCAATTAAGGAAAGGGAACAATTCAAAGTCTATCAAAAAAGTTTAAAAATAAAAATAATATTTTCTTAAAAAGGATTTGCTTAATTGAAATAGTCTTCTTGCTTTACTTGAACCTTGAAAGAAAAATTTTTTTTATTACCTTTGACATCAATGAGTTAATTCAATTGATCTTTTATTTAAGTGTTTATTAAATTGAGATACTGTATCTCAAGAAAGATATTTAGATCCTGACTTTTTTCTATTAAAGCTTTATTATTATCTAAGGAACTTAAGTAAGAGATGGAAGTTTGCAATCCACATTACTTGTTACTTTATTTTTTAATATCATGAAAGTCTTTATTAAGAAACTTGAGCTTTTAAGAACAACTATTTTCAAAATATTCTTTCTAATCATTAATAATATTATCAAAACACATGAGTGTAATAAATAGAAGCTTGTTTACATTTTAAAAACTAACATATTTTATGTTAATTAATTATCTTTAATAAGAATTTATGCTATTCAAAATTCAGGTTCAAATTGAAGTTGATAAATTTTCCCAGAAAACTGTGAAAGTAAAAATTTTAAAAGGGTTAAAACAGTCAAAAAGGAAGAAAATAAGTTTTTATACTATAGAAAATCTCTATAAACCTCTTCTTTTAAAGGTTAAACAGACCTTTAGGTACTTTACAGTCAATTCTTCTTTCTTTAAAAACTTCTTGTTATTGGTATCAAATGTGTTATTTGACTTTTCTTGGTTACTAAAAATCAAGTTTTTTAGTGAAAAGATTTGTAAACAAAAAAGAAAGAGTAAAGATTACTTTTGAAATCATACTTCAAGTTGTTTTAAAAAAAGTATTAAGACTTTATTAACAAAGAAGTATAAAAACTTCTTGCAACTATCTTTTATATATTTGATCAGAGGATCAACATAAAGAGTTTTTTATAATAGGTTTTGATTATATTTTAATAAAAATAAATACTATCTATCTAAAAAAATAATAAAATAAATATATAATTAAAAAATAAAATCAATAAACATAAAACTATTAATCAAAAAAAAAAAATGAAAAAAAAGTGAGACTTAAAATAATATTTTAATAAATAAGATAATATATAGTAAATATAATTTTTTGGTACAACCACTGTATAAAGTACATTTAAAATGCGTCTACGACAGTATGGAAATTTTTATATTCTACCTCAATTAATGGTGTCTATTCCAATTTTCGCATGATTAAATTAATTAACAAATATAAATATCTTTTAATGCAGTTGCAGAAATATGATTACATATCATGAAGTAAAATATCTTGATGCTAGGTTTCCAAAAAAAAATAAAATTGCCAACATAAACGTAATCTATGTAAATAATTTAAAAATTCAATAATTATAGTCTCTGTTTCTTCGTATATTCTATAAGATCCCTAAAGAAGAATAAATATCAAATTGTGAAAATTTGTTAATTATAAGTTTTTTCGTTAAATTTTTACTTACTTAATAATATCGTTCCAGTGGACATTTACAAAAGTCATGCAACATTTTAGACTTTCGGGATCCGCCGAAGGTCTTTCCGCGATAACTTGCGAGATTTTTTTCAACGATTGAAAGAATGAATTCGCGGATATTGTCTGCGAATTACGAGCCGATGCTCCACCATTCTGTGCACTTGGTATTGTATTATTGCCGTCTCCAGACCAACTTTGATGAGTTAAAGATGAGGGACTAGCAATTTCTAAAAAGCCATCATCATTTATTTCATCTAAAGATGAAGCGGTAATTGCCACCTGTTCAAATAAACTTTTAGAAGAGTTGACAACTTTTGTTATATTAAAGTAAAATAAATACCTGTGCGTGCCCTTTCGCTGATGGCCCTCGCATCATGACATACTCCGTTGGTGGTGTGACAGGACCCATTTTAAATCTTCTATTTAATTTACCAGCAGCCTTCTGTTTGTAAATGTCAACCAAGGCTGAGTAAGGAGCTGCACCCTGAAAAAAAGTAATCTTTGTATCGTTAGGTAGTGGAAATGGCCCATTGGTCATTGATCTTCGATGACGATTATTACGACGATTGCTGACAGATTCATTGTAATAACCATCACTGCTTTCATTGTCCCTATCGCTAAGATCATCATCATCCGATTTATTCGTTATTGTCGCTGCTAACTCAACACACAAATATTCTCCTTGGGTTACAATCAAATGTTCAAACATTTCCTCATAATCATCGATAACATAGTAAATTAATGGATAAGAGCACTCCATTGATGATTCTTTAATGTCCATCCGGGATTTTGTTGGGAGGGCATAGACTCTTTTAGATACGTGTTTTCTAGAACAAATCATGCTGGTTTTTGGATTCAATTCATTTGAGTTGTCGGTTGAGCGAGTACATACGGCGACAGTTAACTTGCAAGGTAACTGAAAAGTAATATAAGTATAGTCAAATCGTATGCACCTAGAAAGATAATGGTGCTATATACTGTAGTTAATACCTGAACAATTAGATTTAACAAAAATGTTTCTTTCCATAATACTGTATCATTAACGTCTAAGTCTTTCACTCCCCGTTGATTGGGTTTTCGTTTAACGAATACTGGATCGTCTTCTGAATTATCTTTTCTCACAAAAAATAACAAATCATCATGTTTATTATCATTATTATCGAGGAAATATTCTTCGAAAAGGTCCTTCCATCTATTATATAGGAGCAGAGTGAAACGTTGAATCAGAGAAAAAAATATATAATTTTGGTAATTCTATTGCAACTTTATGATAGACAACCTTGGTTCTTCGATTTCTTCAATATCAGGATCTTTTTCGTCATTTTGTTCAAAATCGCCATATACCTCTGGTCTTAAAACTCGGTGCTGTGAAGTAGCGCTAGAACCACTAGTCGACAAAAGGTTCTCATCGATAAGTCGATCGAGAATTACTTTTAAATGATTCATGACTACGTTCTCTAAATATTACTCCTTTTTTTTATCGTGTAAAAGTGTTTGAATTAGGAAACGGTCGTCTCCTTTAAACCGACCTTCCCTTTTAACCTTATCAGTTAGTAAAAACGCGTGCATAATTGGAACAAACTATCCACGTGATATTTAAACTACATAGATCCATTAGATAAACTGGTTTATTGATAAATGTTTGCAAGAAGTTTAACTATTCTTTTTTTTTTTTTTTGTTATTAAAAAAAGTCAAATAATGCTTCTTTTTTTTTATTTAGAATAAGAAATTCTAAAAAAAAAAAAACAATAATAATATAATACTAAAAAAAATTTTTTTTATAGAACAAGTATATTATATAAAGATTTTATACTATATAAAAATAAATAAATACAAGTTTAAATTATAAAACTTTTTATTAATTATTTTATTTTTCTATAATTACATATTTTTTTTTTTTGATTCTTTAAAAATTTTTTCTATTTCAATTCAATTTTAATTTTTGAATAATATAACTCTTATCTTTAATATTTTATACAAATTTAAAAAATCAAAAAAGTGTTTATTTTTTATAAATAGTTTATATATTTAATATCTTTAAAGAACTATAAAAAAAAAAAAAAAAAAAAACTCTTTCCGCAAATCCCTCAGATCCTTAGAAATTTCCTTTTTAGGCAATACACTCAAGGAAA